AGGGTTTAGGGTTTGGGGGGGTGAGGGTGTAGATTCCATTGCGGTCCCTTTTCTGGGGTTGCCTTATAGGATCCTAAATAGTAAGATTGGTTAAGCCTCAAAAAGGACTACAATGGAGACTATAGGCAGGATGTAGAGTCGAGAAGTTCTCCTTTCTTTTGAACACCTCTTTCTCCTGAAAATGTTAGCACGGTTCAGGGTTTTGCATGTTGGGGGGTGGGCTTTAGAGAATTCACCGTTTCAGGTTTAGCTTTTAGGGATGGGAGTTCAGGATTTGAGGTTCAAGGTTGACAGCTCTTGATACGGCTGATGGACAAAATCCTGCATGACCTTATATACCTAAACTATGGGATTTAGGGTACTATACTATATTTGGGTCATGCAGAATTTTGTCCATCAACAGTACGACTGAGATGGTCAGTAATTATAGTTGCTATCATCTCTGCAACTGCTGGCCTGCAGCAGCCAGAAGTATCCAGAGTGCAGGGCAGGAGTATGTCGAAGCTGGCGCGCAGGATCGATGTCATGCCCAGGTTTGCCGTACTCACCTGAGGGTTTAGGGTTTAGGGTTGTGCCAGGGCCAGCACCCGGAATCCCGCCTAAGGTTACCTTTCAGCTACGAAGCAAGTTAGTCAAACTGTCCGCTGGGGGGGGGGGTATATTTTGCTGTAGTTATAATAAGGAGCCCGCAAAATGGTATAGGTAATTATTAAAGGCCCCTATATTGGATTTATCAGCCTTCCAAAGCAAGTCCGTCAAGGTCTTGTGGTACTCGTCGGACATCAACACCAAGTAGACGATACAGCTGCACTTCGTCCCGAAGGTGAACAGAAAGCAGCACTTCACATCTCCATGGTTGAAGTTGATCCCAAAGATGGGCAGAAGGAAGGCAATGCAAAATCCAGCATAAAATAGCCTGGGTTCCCCAGTAGCCCCTTAATAATAGGGGTACCCTTTTCCGTACTATTTAGTGTTAATCAGGGAGCCCAGAAAGAAAAAGCGCCAAAGGGTACTACTGGGGAACCTAGCAGCAGCAGTACCTGAACCATCTTCGGCCGGGTGCTTCGGTTGGGCAGATCCTTCGGGGCCTGCTCCTCAAAGGCGGAGCACCAGTTCAAGATGTCGCGTGCCGCGCCGGTGGACATCAAGAAGCATAGCATTACCGAGCTCCACTTCATGCCTGCAGCGGCTAAGGGTTTGGGGTTTAGGGTTTAGGGGTTAGGGGTTAGGGTTTAGGGTTTAGGGTTTAGGGTTTAGGGTTTAGGGTTTAGGGTTTAGAGCTCCACTTCATGCCTGCAACGGTTATAGTAAACCCCAGAAAGTTGGAAACCGGATTAAGGACAAATGGTGCTGGGATTCCCTATACATTACTTTTAAGGATTGAGGCTATTGGGTTTCCAACTTTTGGGCTTCTACTGTAAGGGTTTAGGGTTTACGGCGCGTCATGCCTGCAGACTTGGTTTCGCAGGCCACCCAGCAGAGGATGACGTAGAAACTGGTGAGAAGAAAGGGCCGAGTAATATCCTGGGCTTTGAAGTAACCAGGGAGAAGAAAGTATAGACTTTTATTTCATAATGGTTCCTTTAAGGAACAGGTCCCCAACAAAAAAAAGTATTAAAGTAGGGTACTCCAAAGCCCAGTATCGCTCAGGGGGCGCCCAAGTATGAAGTGGCCAGAAACGCACATGATTAACGGCACATCAATCCCCCACCTCGGTTCCCCAGTAGCCCCCCTGACAGTGAGGGTAACCTTCTTCCTACTACTTGCAATTAATAATCGAACCCAGAAAGCAAAAGGAACCCAGAGAGCCCAATACCCCTTAAGTAGGGAATATACCTTAGCCCATAATAGTAAGGCCCCTATAATTTAAGGTATATTCCTTAATTGAGGGGTATTGGGCTCTCTCAGAAAAAAGGTTACTCTTGGGAATCTCGCCACTCAACGCAGCGGAAGGTCCACAGCGCCCGGTTGGATGCGAGCCCGTGGTCGTACAAAGGAGACCTCTCAAGGCGGTTGCTATAGGAACTTCCTTCTTCGTAGGGGCTCGTTTGAAATTCCATGAGCCAAATCGCCAGAGCCCATGACCCCCAAGTCACGACGCGCGAAAGGGTCCGGGACATTGTGTCCATGACCCAATACGCTACCAGGCACGCTGTTCCGAGTGAGCCAAAGCTGCGGTCGTGCACATGGGAGGGGGGTGAACTGTCGGAGTACCTTCAAATATGAATCGGCTTCAAGTTAGTTACGGGCTGGAGGATGTCACTGTTTGCTTGCATCCTACCGAAGATGTGGTCGTTCAAGATTGAAACACATTCTTTGCTGGAGCTTCATAGAGAAAATCGGATGGTGACGGTGGCCTGGCAGGGGTAGGGGACAAGCATTACAATAAGGATTACCACATGGGCTACTATAAGGGCGACTGTCAAAAATGGCCACTACTGTATGGGTGCATGCCCTAGCACTGAATTTTCTGCTCTTGCGAGATGGAAGCTTAGGGGGCAAGCCAAAAGCATTCTTGGCACCGACATGCTCGTCGCAACGGTCGTTTAGGGGTTAAGGTTTAGGGCTTTCGGGGTTCAAAGGTTCTGGGACTTGGGCTTTAATCCTCCTACTTCTGCTGTTACCCAGAGACTCCAAAACCCCTTAATGAAGGAATATACCTTAAATCACGTCAGGGATCCTATTATAATTTAAGGTATATTCCTTAATAAAGGGGTTTTGGAGTCTCTGGGTACTTTAGAGCCAAGGCACCCCGCGAGAAGCTCATGCACCCGCCTGCAGATGGAAGGTTTCACGTTTAAGTTGGAGGAAGGACCTTCCTACCTACATTTCGAGGCTTAGGGTCTCCGTTCCGGGTTCAAGCCGCGTAAACTAAAGGGTTTAGGGTTTAGGGTTTAGGGTTTACTGGTAGGCCTTACTATGGTTTCCTCTGCTGCTTTGTCTTATGAGGGCATCTGAGCTCCCAGGAAGGGGAGGCTCCTGACTAATGCTTTCCATCAACATCTCGCTGCTGCTTTTTGGGGCCGTAGTCTTCGCGGGTCTTAATCAGAGGGCCAACCGTCTGGGGTGCAGGGCTTAGGGTTTCGGATATAAGAACAGGCCCGAAGTAGTAATACCTAGTATTCCGTTGGGTTCCATCAGGCCACTGCACAACATGTTTCGTTTGCCTGCTTGAAGTTTCTATTGGAAGTTTGAAGTCATGGGCCTCTAGTATGGGCCCTTAAGGGTGGGATCCTTATTTACCTACTATATACCCTATTTGTACCCTGAAAGGTCCCTAGAAAGGCCTAAGGGTCCACAATAGGGGCCCAGACTTCTAACCTTAAATCTATGCTTAACCCTAATAGTACAACAACCTTACAGAAACCCCTCTAAAAGACTTCAAACAGCCCAGACAGAAATCCTAAACCCTAAAACCCTAAACCCTAAACCCTAATCCCTAAACCCGAACCTGCCATGAATTAAAAGCCCTCCCAAGCCTGGGCAGACGTCCCACTCGATATCCTGGAAGGGCTTCGTTAAGGGTTTAGGGTTTGGGGGCTCAGAGTTTAGGGTATATAGGGTCTAGGGTTTAGGGTTTAGGGTAGGGTTTGGGGTTTAGAGTTTCGGGCTTTGGGTTTGGGGTTTAGGGTTTAGGATTTGAGGGTTTGGGGTGCAAAGTTTAGGGCTTTGGGGCTTTCGGGCGTTAGGTTTAAGGCCTGGGGCCTAGGGCGTACGGTTTTCCGGGAGTTGGGCCTGATCCCGGGATTCTCTATCAGGGTAAGTTTCCTATGAAATTTCATGCGGCCGAGCTATGACAACAGCCCTACACCCTAAAGGACCCTAAATACTAAACCCTTCATCCTCGAATGTTATAATACAAAGGCCTTAATAATTAGAATAGGGCGTGGGGGCCCATTATACTAGAATTATAATGAGGCACCCCCAAAATAGTATTGGCAATCATTAAGCCCCTATAGTAAACGGTCGACGTAGCCAAGCCAGCCTTGATGATACTACAAGCGAGTAGTACACTGAAGTAGAAGCCGAGTGTGGTGCATGGGAAAAAATCTCGGAGGCTTGCAAGACCCACGACTACACCGGGAATTCGTGAATGTCCTGGGCAAATCAGAACTGCAGAAAGCAAAGCTTTGGGTTTAGGACTACTAAGTAACCTCCGTAACCTCCTGAGCAAGTTAGATGTGCAAGGCCCTCGTCTTGGGGACAAGAAAAACATAGGGAGGGGCTTCCAAATCTTTTATTCCCAAATTTCAAAAGCCCCCCTTAACACAACTCTCCACTCCACAGCTTTCGGTGTCCTAAATCAACAACCCAAAGACCGCACATTCCCTCGTCGAATCTGTCCGAAGGGTTTAGGGCTGAGGGTTTCGAGTCCTGTGGTCCAGGGTTTCAGTGTTGCGGGTGTAGGGTTTTGTAGGCCGGTTCTTGAGGATCCTTAGAGTTTATACAGGGTTTAGGGTGTAGGGTTTAGGGTTTAGGATCCCTGCTATCTTAACCTACCAAAACCTACTTTTGTGTAGGCTCTTATGACGAACCCTATTATGGAATTTATAGGGCCCTACAAAACAGTAGGTGTTGGTAGGTTAACCCTAAACCCTAAACCCTAAACCCTAAACCCTAAACCCTAACGGTGCATTTTAGGAAACAGCCTTCAATCCAAGGAGTCCTGGAGTCAAGCCTAGGCAAATAACCGAAAAAACCTATCCACAACTCTAAACGCACAAGAAACGGGCCTGACTCATTAGAATGGGGTGTTGGGGTGTACTATGTTTCAAGTATATATGGATTCAGAAGCTTTATCATCTTCTAAACTATCATGAACCTTCAACACTAAGCCCTAGACTAGCCGGGGAGCCGTATCGTCCATTGTCATTCGCACCACAGCCCCCTCCACGAAGCCGCGGGCGCGTGCAAGCTGCGCCTGACCAGGAGCTCTGGAATTTCACTTGGGCTCTATAGGCGGGTGAAACGTGGAGGTTTAGGGTTTAGGGTTTAGGGTTTAGGGTTTAGGGTTAAGGGTTTAGGCTTAGAAACTAAGTTTTTTGTTGTAAGAAAAGATAGGCTTGCAGGATCTCAACTGACCTTTGGATTTCCTGCAGTCATTGTTGCTTTTGTGTTGAGGGTTGCCATGTTTTGGGGTTCTACTTGGAGGGTTTAGGGTTTAGGGTTTAGGGTTTAGGGTTTAGGGTATGGGACTTAGAAAATATGGTTGTAAGTACCTTAATTGGGGAAAAAAAGTAACTACAAGTATAGTTGCCCTCATAATGACCACACTTACGAAGTCCCATGATCCTCCAAGTATCTTAGGGCTTAAAGAAGTTTTAGAGGCATCAGGGCGTAGGCTCAGGAATTGTGGGTTTTACGAGTGCTCTATATAAAGGAATTGTTGATAAGTGAAAACCGCCCAGAAACCTGGATTCGGACACGATAAGCACATGATACTGTTTATGATATAAATCCTGCATTACCTTAAGGACCCTAAACTAAGGGAATTTTGGGTTTAGGGTAGTTTAGGGTTTAGGAATTAGGGTTTAGGGTATACTCCTTATTATCATACCATCAACCATACATGATACTTGGCTGATACTTGAATGACCCATACATGATACTTGGCTGATACTTGAATGACGAGCATCAGCCCTAACACACCGGCAAGAATAGAAGATGAGTGCACTTACAGGTATGTCTCCAGGCTCTTTCCCTAAACCCTAAACCCTAAACCCTACAAAAAAACTCCTCAAATTTTGGAGCTTAAGGTTGAGGGAGATCTGTTTCTTCCTGGGGCTTCTTCGGAAGGCACGTCTGCCCGGTTTAAGGCTTTAGGGTTTGGGGTTTGGGGTTTAGGGTTTGGGGTTTGGGATTTAGGGTTTAGGGTTTGGGGTTTAGGGTTTCAATGTTAAGGGCTCAGGGCTAGGGGTTGGGGGTATCAGAACATGTCCAACTTCTCTGCCGCCTCTGGCGCTCACCCGAACTCGGCGCAAGGCTCCGAACCCTCAGCTCCAATCCCGACCCGCGACCTGGGACCCTAAACCCTAAACCACTAAACCCTAAACCCCTAACCCCTAAACCCCTAAACCCTAAACCCTAAACCCCCAAACCCTAAACCCTAAACCCGAAACCCCTGCATTTCCGATGGAACCTGATCTGCGCAGGAGCTACAAAGGTCCAGTCTGCAGGCGTCGCAGCGGCCGCATCTCTCCTGTCAAGAGTTCTTTCAATCAGAAGCCCTCACCAGTATCTTTAGTGTTACGAGTGCGATTGGTATTGCAGTATTATAGGCATTGTTACTGCTGTTCGTATATTGGTATTACAAGAACTGTTCGTGTTCATGGTATTCTTCGTATGATTAGTATGCGATTCATACTGCTACCATTCTTAGTAGTAATAACGGTATTTTCGGAGGTATGAGCGCTATGACTGTTTTTGATCCGCCCGGTTCAGGGGATGATCGTGCTGAGCTGTCGGCGTATTTGCCAATGTAAGTCGTGCGATGCAAACGATGCAAAGTATGCTCGCGGTACTCCTACGCCCTCACCCCAACGTTCTAAACCCTCCACCGGGGACCCGAGCTTTTCAAATCCCTAAGACCATACATTAAACGTCCCTCGACCCTAAACAAACAAACCAAACCCTAAACCCTAAACCCCGAAACCCTAAACCCTAAACCCTAAACCCTAAACCCTAAACCCTAAACCCCGAAACCCTAAACCCCGAAACCTTGAACCCTGGCAGTCCTCGGTGAGGTCCCGGCTGCAAGTGGCGCAGCAGGCGCCATCCGAAGCATATACCTGGAGCCCGCGTACTGACTACACCCTAAACCCTAAATCATCTAAATCCTAAACCCTATACCCTAAACCCTAAACCCTAACCCAAGGCCGTAAATTTTGAACTCCTAACGCGTACTGCCCAGGAAGCCAGCACCAGATGAAGCGGACCAGTGAAGGCAAGTCGCGCTATGATTTGTGGTCTAACAGTGTTGGCAGACAGAAGAGCTTGGGTTAAGACACCTGCACCTCAGTTTCACCCTGAACTTCACCTCGAGACGTCAACTGGGCCATCGACACACACCCTCGACACATATCCTATACCCGAAACACTATACCCTAAACCGTTCAACCCTAAACGACAATGATGGCCTCTTCCAGCGTGTGGCCATCAGGACATCGGAGAGCCTTCATGAGTTTCATGCTGCTCAACAGCTCAGGCATGGGCACTGGCATCTAAATGCATTCAATGTCTCAACTCACCATAAGCGCTGACCCCTAAGAAGCACTACGGCAGTTGTCACGAGACCACGATCCGCGGGATCTTGAACCTGTATATGTATATGTATATGTATATCCATGTGCATAGGTATATGCATATGTATACGTGAACGGATATGTGCGTGCATATGTATATGTATATGTAAATGCATATGTATGGTAATTGATGTATATGTACATATGCTTATGTAGGTGTACAACATGTGTACACATATATATATATATATATATATATATATATATGTGTGTGTGTGTGTGTGTATATGTGTCCGTGTACGTATGTATGCATGCATGCATGCATGCATGCATGTATGTATGTATGTATGCATGTACGTATGCGTGTGCATGTGTATGTATATATATATATATGCTTATATGTATACATATATATATACACACATACGTATGTGTGTGCGTGTACATGTGTGTGTATATGTGTATGTGTATGTAGTGCATGTGTATATATGCAGGCAGACAAAGTAGGTCAGTGGGTATCGAGGATGCTGCTAGAAAAGTACCTGTGCATAGGGGGGGGGGGGGCAAAAGCAAAGGCACGTTTCAGTAGCAAATGTAGCCATTGAAAACTCTTCGCCGACTACGCGTGAGTCAGGTCTCCTGGGTTGCTTGAAGCTCATCTGCGGAAGTCTGGGAATCCAGAATCTCTTGCATCTTCACACATGACATGGTCATCTTGGACTCTATGCATGGCAGTCATGCGGCTTGGTTCATGATTTATGAAACTCCAAGATCTGTAGAATGCGAACTCTTTCAGCTCTTTACATTGAAATCCACACCTGAAACCAATCGCACATGCGCGTGTTGGGACCTCCAGCGCAGAAAAGGGCCACCAGAAGCAACCGCCGCTTGTGGCAACCCTGCACGGAGAATTCTCATGAAGCGCTAAAACGGACACCACCACCATAGATGATTCTTCTCTGATGTCTGTTGCTCTTGAGACCGTAGTGCTTGTTACAGACAGTGGAGCTTGCACAGGTTCACAACCCTAAACCCTAAACCCTAAACCCTAAACCCTAAACCCTAAACCCTGGACCCTAAACTTTGTAGGAGCTGGGGCTGATAACTGCGACCCCTAAAGCCCAAACCCGACACACTGAGCCCCAGAAGCCGAAGCCAAAAATCTTTGTTGTAGAAGCCTTGGTTTAGGGTTTAGGGTTTAGGGTTTAGGGTTTTTGGGTTTAGGGGTTTAGGGTTGAGGGTTTAGGGTTAGAGGAAAATTTACAGGAACCATTTACTACACCAAATACCCTTCGGTACATGTCTTTTGCCCTGGCAAGGGCAGCGCGTCTTCTGCTGCAAAGGACTTGGATCGCGGGTTGGGTCTCGGACTATCGGAATCAGGGCTTTCTGGTGGGCTTATATAGGGTTTCGGGGCTTAGGGTTTAGGTTTTACTTCATGATTCTTTGACTTAGCGTTTGGTTTAGGCTTTAACCCTAAACCCTAAACCCTAAACCCCTAACCCCTAAACCCTACAGCCTAAACCCTAAACCCTAATTGTTGGGTTCAGCGCTCCGGGTTCGGTTTAGGGATGAAACCTTCCCAGAGACTCCAAAACCCCTTAGTTAAGGAATATACCTTAAATCATATTAGGGATCCTATTATAATTTAAAGTATATTCCTTAACTAAGGGGTTTTGGAGTCTCTGGGTTCTCATCTTGACACTCCAGGACGCCCGCCTGCAGCGCTGGCGGAAAACTGCTTCCACCCGCCCTTGCTGACCCAAAGCCTCGACTTTTCTTGGGGTTTAGGAATTAGGGTTCAGGGTTTAGGGTTTAGGGTTTAGGGTTGCCTAACAAGGGCTGAAACAGGGTTTGTTTCATCAGGGCTTAGTACTTAAGGGTCTACGGGGGGCTGGGGGCTTTATACAGACTTGGAGAGTTAGCATGAACATGAAGGCTACGTGAAGTAGAAGGGTACTATCGGGTCCAAGATATTTGGATGAGGTTAAGTTGGGACCCCTGCTGGCCCTCCAGTAGGTTCTCTCGAAATGCGTGGAAAGGCAAAGGGAGCCCCGAAATAGCACAACTCCATCTAAACCCTAAACCCTGAACCCTAAACTCCATCTACCGTCACGGACCTCCCCGGAAGCCCTCACGAAGTGGCGGGGGTATGGTTTAGGGCGTCTAGGGTTTAGGGGTTTAGGGTTTGGGGTTTAGGGTTTAGGGTTTAGGGTTTAGGGGTTTAGGGGTTTAGCGGTTTAGAGTTGAGGGTTTAGGGTTTAGGGCCGGGTCTAGGAAACCTCCAATCTCAAACCAATAGGTCCCGAAAACTTCAGCGGGAGTGGGAGAGTGGATCCCTACAGTGGTCCATAAGAAAATCCCTTAGAGTAGTCCCTAACCCTAAACCCTAAACCCAAATATTAGTCCCTATATTCCCACCTCGCCTCCTCCCTTAAGCACCAGTAAGAGCAAAGAGGCTCCAAGGCCCCTTAGTTACGGCGTATCAACCCCCAAAATGATAAGCGCAATCCTAATATCATGATTTCAGGCATACTTCTGTATATACCCTAAATTATACTAGAAACCCTGATCTGGCTTAAAGTGCATCAGGGCTTAGGGTTTAAGGTTTAGGGCATTCCTTATTAAGTGGCTTTGGAGTCTCTGGGAACATTGGCCGCGGCCAGGGGGCAGCGGCCATCGGAGCACTCCAGCCTTGCGCCGACCTCGTTGTGTCCTGGGCGCAGAGGCTTTAGGTAAAGCTTGCCCAAAGGCTCCATGTACCCATATAGTCGATACTTAAGCCTTAAAGGGGTCCCTATATAGGCACTTTAAGGCATAAGTATCGACTATGTGGGTACATGGAGCCTTAGGGTTGGTTTAGGCTTCAGGTTTTATGAGGTTTGGAGTTCAGAGTTTAGGTTTTATAGGGCTGGGCTTAAGGTAGTTGGCCCAGGGTTTAACACAGACAGCTTGGTTTAGGGTTTAGGATGTAGAGCTTGGCTTAGGATACAAAGCTTGGTTTAGGGCGTAGGCGTCGTTAGATTGTGGTAGCTTTTGGTTTAGGGTTGAGGGTTTAGGATAATTCTAGAGAAACTCTATTTGTTTTAGGGCTTCGGATTTAGAAGATACATATAGAGTTTGCATAGGGTTTCGGATGATAGATATTGAAGGGTTTTGAGTTTAGGACTCGGAGCTGGGAAACCGAACAGTGGCAGGAATTGCGCACGAGAGTGATGGTCGCAACAGTTTTACTGTCTGTAGGCGCCTTAATAATTAGAATAGGTTTAGTGGCATACTATACTCTAAGTATAATAAGGAAGCCAAAAATAGCTTTGGTAAGTATGTAGACCCCTATATTAGTAGTGGTAGCACGGCGATGACGACGACGACCACTATCACTGCTGCTGCTACTACTGCTACAGCTTCTTGTTGCTATCGCTGCTGCCGTAGCAACAGCCACGACATCGCGACCGAAGACCCTAGCAAAGCCCATGCAGCCACTTTTTGTCCTCCTCGATGGTGATCATCTCCCTGGGAGAGAAAACGGCCTTGCGGTGCCACTGTCACTACTTGGAGGATGATGGGACTTAGTAAGTAAGGTTATAAGTCCCTTAATTGGGATTATAAGTATGCCCTAAACCCTAAACCCTAAACCCTAAACCCTAAACCCTAAACCATACCTTACTTATAACCCTACTCACTAAGTCCCATGATCCTTTAAGTAAGCCTCAGCCACACAGCACAGAGCTGCAGACATACACGGAATACTGAAACCTAAATGGGGGTTTCCGAAAATAGGGGGCCCTAATATAGTACCCTAAATAATAGGATCCTTACTATAAGGACCCCAAAATAAGGTACCCCTATTTTCGGAAACTGCCAGATTGCAGAATGTTGAACTGGTATCAACACGGCTCGCTGCATTTCAGGGAGTGTGTCTACGGTCCTGGATGTTAGGCTCAGAGCTCATGCGGCCCAGTCTTTCGGGTTGAGGGTTCCAGCGCTCGGGGCTTAGGATCCTGGCTGTAGGCTTAGAAGAGGGCTTGGGGGTATATCATACAATAACGTGAGGGTTTAGGGTTTGAGGTCTAACTACAGTAACGAACCCTCAGGCCGTCAGGAACAGTACTACGAACCATAAAGGCCCCATTTTGCACGCTTAGACCCCGAACCCTGAATCCCAACCCCAGCCTTGTGGGCCACAACCCTGAACCCTCAAACCCTGTTTAGGAGAACCAGGGTTTGAGGGTTTAGGATTTAGCTGGGCATTTTGGGTGTTCGGGTTTCGGGTTCAAGGTTCAGAGCTTTGGGTTTGGAGATTAGTTGGGTTTTGGACCGAGGCTTCGATGCATCGGGTTGTGGCGGAGGGCACTTTTGCGGACCACACGCTAATCCTGCAACCCGAGACTCTCCCATCCCTGCTTCCACCGCGAACAAGAAAACAAGCAATGATGATACCTGCGGTAGGTAGTAGTAGTAGTAGTAGTAGTAGTAGTAGTAGTAGTAGTAGTAAAGTAGTAGAAGAAAGGTTTATAATACCGCAGGAGTATCATGACAAATGTCAACAAGATGCATATGTAACAACTGAATACATCAATCAGCTCCCGCAGCAATGCTAAACCCTAAACCCTGAATCCCAAGCCCAAATGTCTCACGCATCTAATTTCACAAAACCGTAGCGAACCCTCATAAACCCACGCTCCTCAACCCGCGCAGAACCCCTATGAAGCCTTACCAACCCCTCAAGCTCGAGGACAAACTAAACCCTACATCCTGAACCCTAAAGCCTAAACTCTAAACCCTCTAACCCTAAACCCTAAACCCCCAACCCTAAACCCCCGAACCCTAAATCCTAAACCCTAAACCCCCTAACCCTAAACCCTAAACCCTAAACCCCCTTACCCTAAACCCCCAACCCTAAACCCTAAACCCTAAACACCCAACCCTAAAGCGTAAACCCTAAATCCTAAACCGCATCCTGACCTGAAATCCCAAGTCCTGCACCCTGGATCCGCCACCCTGAACGTCCTAAACCCCACAGCACTAGGGTTTAGGGGTTTAGGGTTTAGGGTTTAGGGAACCCTAAACCTGCAACCGTAAACCCTACATCCTACAACCCCGCAGGTTTAAAAAGGCAACCCCCAACTCTACAACGATACACAATAGTGTTTAAAAAACCACTCACTACAACCCTGGACTGTAATTTACAAAACACTAAACCCTACAACCGCAACACTTGTTAAACGCCGTCCCCTAGACCCCAGAAGCCTCGTGCTCTGGCCAGCCCCAGTCGGCTATTGGCGACATGGCTGCGGTCCAGGCGAGGCAGATGCCCTCCGCCTCCTGAGGCGGCTTTTTAAAGCATTCCCTAGGGTTCCGGGGTTTAGGGTTTGGGGCTCAATGAATCTATGGGCTAGTTAGATATATAGATATAAATATGAATATAAGGATAAATATACATAAATAAAAAAATATATATATATATATAAACAAAATGGTCTCAGGCACCATGAGACATCTAGGGAACTCTGATGTTGATGTTGTTGTTGCAAGGTTGTACTGCGTCAAGCTTGAGAGGGGTTCTAATAGGAATTATTTGAAGGCTTTATCGATTGTTTAGACTGCTGTGTGGGGTCTTACAGGGGCCGCTCTAGGAGTAACAGGTCGTTATGGGAATGCTCTTGCCAGTTATGTCGACCCCCTCCATATTACAAGGTTTCAAGCTTTAGGATTTCGGGCTTTGTTAGGGTAGGGCTTAGGGCTTAGAGTTTGGGACTTCGAGCTGAGGCTTTAGGCTCAGGTGCTGCAAGGTTTAGGACTTCGTGGTCGTGGAAGGTTTGAGGCTTCCGGGCTTTAAGATTCGTACGTTAAGCCCCTAAACCTTAAACCTTAAACCCTAAACCCTAAACCCTGAACCCTAAACCCTAAACCCCATTAACCCCAGACCCGAGACCTGAGAACCCTCAACCCCAAAACCCCACAGCCCTGAATCTTGCGGGGACTCTTAGGGTTTAGAGTTTAGGGTTTAGGGTTTTAGGGTTTAGGGTTAAGGCTTTTGGGTCTGGGGGTTTAGGGTTTAGAGTTTAGGGGTTAGGCTTTAGGCTTGAGGCTTTAGGCTTTAGGGGTTTAGGGTTTAGGGTTTAGGGTTTAGGGTTACAGGAACTCTTAAAGGACCCCCAAACCCAGAACCTTCAAACCGTACAAACCCTCAACCCGCGACCCTAAACCGATCCCATGGCAAACTCTAAACCCTCAACCCTAAACCCTAAACCCTAAACCGCTCCTCTTCGCTCATCTCAAGGATTTTCACGAGCTGACCCTCGCAGAAGGGCCCCTGAAAAGGTCTTCGGCTTAGGGCTTCGGGAGTTCAGCAATAAACCCTACTAGGGTTTAGGGTTTAGGGTTTAGGGTTTAGGGTTTAGGGTTTAGCTACTAGGGTTTAGGGTTTAGGGCGAGGCTAACCCTAAACCCCTGTTACGGTTTAGGGTGTAGGGTTAGGCCAACCCTAAACCCGAAACAGGGGATTAGGGTTTACGATAGGAACTCGGCAGTTGCGCGAACGAGGGCCTGGAGGTATAGATTCAGGGAATTGGGATGCTGGGGTTTAGGGTTTAAGGTGTACCTTAAGAACCCAAAACCCACTTGTTTGTAGGTTCTTATTATAAACCCCAATATGGGATTTATAGGGACCCGACAAAAAAGTAGGTTTTGGGTGCTTAAGGTAGGGGTTTTGAGGCAGGGTTCAGGCTTTTTCTTTCGGGCCTAGTCTAGGGCGAGGGCCTTGAAACTTGAGGGTCAAACGCGTAATGCAGGCTTCCTCAGTCCGTGAGCGCCCAAGACACTGGGCAAAAAAGATTCGTAAGCAGTGTTCTGCGCTGGAGTTTGATCCTTGGCGTTTAGAGTGCGGTGTTTGGGTGTTCGTCCAGTGCCTACAAGTCAGGTACAGAGACTGTGTAACCCTACGCACCAGATCATATTCTGCACACGAGGGCAGAAAACTTCGCGAGGGCTGTACGGTTTAGGGTTGCACAATACAGTCTCTGCTTAAAGGATCATGGGACTTAGTAACTAGGGTTATAACTAAGGTAACTATACTTATAAGCCCAACTAAGGAACTTATAACCTTACTTACTAAGTCCCATGATCCTCCAAGTGCGCCCGAACATGACGAGCATGAAGCTTGAGGCGCCTCCCGGCTACCAGGACGTCTGACCGATGTCCCATCGGCCCTCCTTAGCAACGGCCCCGGAGAATGACAGACATGCGCGGTGAAGGCAAAACGGTATGAGGGCTTTGGCCGTAGAATTGTATGAGCTTGAGGTTTTGGGGTTATCGCAGTCTTAACCTGACGTGCACTTCGGCTATCGACGGGGGAAGCCACGTCTGACTAAAACCAAGCTCAAGCGCGACCGTCTCCAGAACGCTGCCGAGTTGCTCCAGCATAGCCAGAGGCCACCGCCACCAGTCCGACTGATCTGGCGTATAGACCTCGGTTCAGGGTTAAGGGTTTAGGGCTTTGCTTTAAGGGATTGGGTCTGGGTTTGCGGATTCGGGTTTGAGGTTTAGGATGTAGCGACTCTGGGGCGTGCTGCAGCAACACAGGCGCCCTGTCCATGCTTGGAGGCACGCCGTGGTAAGCGACCCCAGGAGCAGCTGTACGAAGGTCACAGAATTTGATCATCTAGGTCTCAGACCGAATAAAGGGGTGATCTAAAGTCTAAAGTATCCCGATCGCCTACTTAGTTATTTCTGGAGCGAGTAGACTCACATGAAACTTCTATGGATACTCCGAACATGCGAGGGCCCGTCAACCCACAAACGCTAAACCTCAAGCTCGAAAACCCGACCAAAGATCCCGACATCCTACGCCTGAACCCCGCCACACCCTTGACTATTCAAGCACCAAGATCCCGAAACCCGCAAACCCGAAGCGTCCTAACCCCTAAACCCCTCCTCCCACTAAGCTGGACCCCCTAAACCCTAAACCCCAAACCCTAAACCGTGGCTGCAGACTCGTGGCGGCATAGTAGTCGCTACCCACGCTTCGGAGCTCGCCCACCGTGCCAAGGAGGGCTGCCTTGCTGGAGTTCCAGTGGATGCCAGACGCCTTCACAGCGGCTTTGACTGTATGCGCATGCGTGTACAAATTCATGTTATATATATATATATACATATATATATATATATACACTCATAAATGTATATATACACACATACATGCATGCATACATACATACGCATACATACGCACACATACGCATACATACATACATACATACATACATACATACATACATACATACATACATACATACATACATACCTACATACCTACATACATCCATGCATACATACATACATACATACATACATACATACATACGTACGTACATATATACATACATATGATATGATATGATATGATATGATATGATATGATATGATATGATATCATATGATATGATATGATATGATATGATATGATATGATATGATACGATACGATATGATATGATATGATATGATATGATATGATATGATATGATATATGTATATGATATATATATATATATGATACATATATATATATATGATTGGTATGTATGTATATATATATATATATGTCTGTGTGAGAGAGATATATATATATATAAAGAGAGAGAGAGAGAGAGAGAGATCTCCCTATATAGATATATATATATATATATATATGGTACCCCCCCCCCCGGTACCTAGGTCTGCTCCTTTCCCTCAGGAGCATGAAAACCAAAACCTGGGTAGCGGAGGGAAGGGGTCGACATTTCCAAACTATGGCTCTGGCTCAAGAGGTTTCTCGAAATTCATGGAAATTGTTGGTTTTACCAACATTTTCCATGATTCCCACAGACAAATCA